TAATCCCAGCTACTCAGGAGGCTGAGGTACGAGAATCACTTGAACCCGGGAGAGCTATGATGACACCACTGCACTCCAGCCTGGGTGACATACTGAAACTCCGTCTCATAAATACATACATACGTACAAGTACGTCACCAGCCAGGCAAGGTGGCTCATGCCTGCAGTTCCAGCACTTTGGGAGGCCAGGGTAGGAGGATCTCTTGAGCCCAGAAGTTCAAGGCTACAGTGAGCTATGGTGCCTCTGCACTCCAGCCTGGGCAGCAGAGCAAGATCTTGTCTTAAAAAAAAAAAAAAAAAAAAGTTTCTATTCATGCCTCAGTTCAGAAGCAAGACTCTGCTTCGGGGGTACTTTTCCCACCACTATTTTAAAACCCTTACTCCATATCTTGGCACTTGGCAATGGGAAAACTTCCACTGCATCCGTGTTAAATGTTGATTATGTGTAGGGCATGGTGTAGGTCCCATATGGTATAAAAAAGTCCAGTTTTTGCCCTCTAAGAAGGCCCTGCCCAGATGAGCAGAGAACGTGAATGGGTGTGTGCAGCCAGCAGGAGTCACACGTGGGTCTTCAGACAAATGGCACAGAGACATCGGAGAGCGTAGCAATTGCGGAAATTCTCTAGGTGGTGCTGGCTGCCACGCAGGTCCCACAGGGTTCTCTAGTACTGAGTGTGACCTGAATGTCCCTGTGGGGGTGCCTGGTCCATACCTCCTCCCTCTGCTGCAGATGAAGATGCCTTCTAAGAAGTTTGCACACATCCCTGTCTACACACTGGGCTTTGAGAGTCCTCAGAGGGTGTCGGCTGCCAAAACCACGCCAGTCCAGAGAAGAGACGTCTTCCAGTGCGTTCTTTGCCTTGCTGCTGATGTCACCGTGGTGGTCGGGCATTAACAGTAACCTGGGAGCTGGGGTGGAGGGGGCTGGCTTTGTCGCCATTTGCTAGGACACCCCAAGGAATAGAACTCCAAGGCAGAGATACATTATTTTGGAGGTCTCTGGGAGGCTGAGTAGTAGGTGGTCAGGGAGCAGTGCTGAGAGGAACACTGCTGGCTGTGTCAGTTACATACAACCCCATGGGTGCCTGAGGGCCAAGGGGAGGCCTAGGGTGAAAGGCAGCCAGGAGGAGCCCTGGGATGCAGTCAGGGATGGGGTGGGGTCTTGCACCCTGGCTGGCTGCTTTCCCTGACTGCCCTCTCCTGCTCCCTAGATCTCTGCAAGGACCACAGTGGCAGAGTGTGGAAGAGGCGTTCCCCCACATCTACTCCCACGGCTGTGTCCTCAAGGACGTCTGCAGTGAGTGCAGTGGCTTTGTGGCCGATGTGGTGCGCTCCAGCCGTAAGAGCGTGGACGTCCTCAACACCACGCCACGACGCAGCCGCCAGACCCAGTCCCTCTACATCCCTAACACCAGGACTCTTGACTTCAAGTGACAGCACCAGCAGGCCAGGCCTCCAGGAGGCACCAGGCAGGCCCTGTTCCAGGCTAGGACGCGCTGAGCTGTGCATGTACATATATACATATATAGATAGATTTATAATATATACACCTGGCCTATATATTTATAGACATCGTTTCCTGGCCCCAGAGCTCATTTGGGTTCAGGCACACTTCAGAACCCTCCCTCCGGGAGGCTGTTTCTTCTCAGGATTCCTTGCCGGGGAGGAAGTGGGGAACAGGGAGTGGGTTTTCTCACTGAGGAGAGAGAGCAGAGGGTTCTAGATCCTGGCAGACTGCATCCCATGTTCCCATTCTCTTCTCTGTCCCCAGTAATGAGGACAGCAGCTTCCCCTCCCCCGTGGATGTCTAGGTGGGGGTTGGGTATCTCAGCTCCCAGCTGGACCAGAGTGCCCTGCTCGCCTCTGCTCTCCCTTTGTGGAGACTTGGGCAGCACCTGGGAAGTGTCTGAGTGAGCGGGGTTCTCCTGGGAGGCACCCCCCGCCTCTGAAAGGTCTGGCCAGGCGTGGTGGCTCACACCTGTAATCCCAGCACTTTGGGAGGCCGTGGAGGGAAGAGCGCCTGAGGTCAGAAGTTCAAGAGCAGCCTGGCCAACATGATGAAACCTTGCCTCTGCTAAAAATACAAAAATTAGCTGGGCGTGGTGGTGCACGCCTATAGTCCTAGCTAGTTGGGAAGCTGAGACAGAAGAATCACTTGAACTTCGAAGGCGGAGGTTGCAGTGAGCCAAGATCACACCACTACACTCCAGCCTGGGTGAAACTGTCTCAAAAAAAAAAGTCCATGCCAAGCTTCTCCCTACCCTTTGCCTGGGGTCCACACCCCAGCTGTCCCGCCCCTTTGCCCTACCACATTCTGGTGCTGTCGTCACTCGCCTCAGGCTCAGAGGCTACTGAAGATGCTGGAGGTCCCAGTCCAGGGAGGAGCAGCTCTGTCAATCTGTGTACATGGCCACTCTTGGCCTAATAAAGGAAGTCTCACACCTTCTGTCTGGGATGTGCACTGAGGGTTTGCCCAGCATGGCAGTGGGCATATTCTCCCAAGGCTGAAGCTCGGCTTGAGGGGCCATCTGCCCTCCAGGACCAGGAAAGGCCTCCCTGGCTTAGCACAGTTGCATGCCCACCCGGCGAGGGTCCCAGGCCTGCTCTGTCCCTGCAGCGCTGGCTGGCTCTACCAGCTTCATGGTCCTGGCCACCTTGGTCAGGGGTGCAGGCAGACAGCACAGACCACATCCCATCAGCTCCCCTGGCCACACCTGCTGGCCTGGGGGACAGTTTAGTTTCACTTCCCAGATCCCTATTCTTATTCTCCAGGGAGAGGAATCACAGGGGCTGGAGGTGTGACTGAGGCTCTAGACAGGCCCTGTGCCCAGTGCTGTCTGCCCACCTGTGCCTGGCTCAGCCTGGTACAGCACCCTGCCCCGTTCCTCTGTGACGTTCTGCTCTCATTTCACCTTACACATGAGGAAACTGAGGCTCAATGAGGTGAAATAATTTGGCCAAAAATACATAGCTCACCCAGGAACTTTGACCCTAGGCTGTAATGCCGGCCATGGGGCCTGGAGGTTGGGAAGGGACCTGACTTGTAACAGATGGGCCTGTGGGAGAAACCTCCTATCAGCTGGGGCCCAGGAAATCCACACACATAGTTAGAGCCCCCAATAAAATAAGCCAGCTTTGGCTGTGCGTGTTTTTTTTTTGAGACAGGATTCTTTTTGTGTGTGTGTGTGCATTTTTTTTTTTTTTTTCCAGACAGTTTTGGTCTTGTTGACCAGGCTGGAATGCAATGGCGTGATCTCTGCTCACAGCAACCTCTGCCTCCTGCTGGCCCTGTATTTTTATTCCTGTTTAAGACTAAGAAAACCGCCATGCACGGTGGCTCACGCCTATAATCCTAGCACTTTGGGAGGCCGAGGCGGGCGGATCACGATGTCACGAGCTCGAGACCAGCCCGACCAACATGGTGAAACCCCGTCTCTACTAAAAATACAAAAATTAGCTAGGTGTGGTGGCGCATGCCTGTAATCCCAGCTACTCAGGGGCTGAGGCCGGAGAATTGCTTGAACCCAGGAGGCGGAGGTTGCAGTGAGCCGAGATTGTGCCACTGCACTCCAGCTTGAGTGACAGAGTGCGACTCCGTCTCAAAAAAATAAAAAATAGCAGGCACAGAGGGTCAGGAATTTCCCCTGGTCACATAGCCAGCAATAAGAAAGCTAATGTGCGGCACTCAGTAAGGACAACTGTGGATCTCCTGGTTCCACAGGGGCTTACACTCCCTATCATGGGAAGACTGGATGGTAATCCACGCAGAAACACTTGGAAATGAAAGCCCCCGTTAAAACGCTAGCCCAGGGCAGCCACAGTGGCTCACGCCTGTAACCCCAGTACTTCTGGAGGTCGGGGCAGGTGGATCAGCGAAGGTCAGGAGTTGGAGGCCAGCCTGGCCAACATGCTGAAACCCCATCTGTACTAAAAGTACAAAAATTAGCCTGGCATGGCGGCAGGTGCCTGTAGTCCCAGCTACTTGGGACGCTGAGGCAGGAGAGCTGCTTGAGCCTGGGAGTTGGAGGTTGCCGCGAGCCGAGACTGCGCCAGTGCGCTGCAGCCTGGGCGACGGAGCAAGCCTCACCTCGGAACACACAATCCTAGCCCGCGCCGGGAGGGGCGGGCCCAGGGGCCGCAGCGGGTGGGGCAGGAGGCGGCGGCACCCGCCTTCTCCGTGCCCGCCGGGCCCAAGGTCCCCAGCCCCACGCACAGGAAGCCGGGGTCCGCCCACGGAACCGAGCCCCGTCTCGGCCTCCTCCACTTCGTTTCCCGCTTTTCTGAGACGGTCTGGCCCCGTCCCCCGGGCTGGAGTGCAGCGGCGCGATCTCGGCTCGCGGCAGCCTCAGCCCCGGGACTCTCTGTCTCGGTAGAGACGGCCGCACCGTGTCGCCCAGGCTGGTCTGGAAACGGACCTCGGGTGACCCGCCCGCTCTGCCTCCCGGGAGCTGGGACCCCACGCGCGAGCACCGCGTCCGAGAGCTGCTCGGAACCACCGTCCCTAACGAGGCCTCCGCCGGGCAGCACGGCCCGGCCGACCCGCCCGACCCGCCGCGTGAGCGGGCGGCGGCTCCAGGCCGGGCAGAGGCCGCCATCGACGCCAGGCCACTGGACCGCGGTGACACGGGAAGAGCCAACGAGCCAACCAGTAGGCCCGGGACGCCGCCGAAACGCTCCCGCCCGCAGCGGGGACAGGCGCTGGCAGCGGCTCCCGGCGGGCCGAGCGCGGCCGCGGGGTCCGGGCCACACGCACGGGCGGGGCCTGGCAGGGCCGAGTGTCGCCCGCTGCGCGCCCCTTCCCCCGCATCGAACCCCGTCATCCCCGCGGGGCACCTCTCCAAGCCCGGGCCCGCGGCGCGCAGGTACCCAGCGCTCCCGAAACCTGACCGGGACCCGCCAGCCGCCGCGCAGACGCCGCGGCTGAGGCGGGAAAGTTCCGGAGAGCCGCAACGCGCAGGCGCCGCACCACAGGCCCCGCCCCCGCCTCTCGCGCCAGGAGTGCGCAGGCGCCGCAGCCAGCGCCCCCGACGCCAGGACTGCGCAGGCGCGCCGTCCGCGGAATTTTCTGCGCTTCCTTCTCCCTCTCTCCAGACGTCGTGGTCGTTGGGTCCTATGTCGCGCCGGGCCCTCAGGAGGCTGAGGGGGGAACAGCGCGGCCAGGAGCCCCTCGGGCCCGGTGCCCTGCAGTTCGACCTCCGTGACGACGATGACGCGGAAGAGGAAGGGCCCAAGCGGGAGCTGGGTGGCCGGTGCCCCGGGGAGGCAGGGAAGGAGGGCGTCCGAGTCAACAACCGGTTCGAGCTGGTGAGGATCGCGGCGGCTGGGGTGGGGGCGGGGTGGGCCGTGACGTCGCGGGGCGTGGCGAGCGTCCGGTCTGGTCGGGGAGCGGGGGTCGTGAGACCAGGGGTGGATCGGGTGACGTGAGTCCCGGCTGCAGTGGGGAGGGCGGGGCCGTGCCAGGGCCGGGCCGATGCGGGTGGGCGGTGGCGTGAGGTCAAGATAGCTGGACGCAGAGTTACCTTGGGTTCGAACCCCAGTGAGGTGGGCGGGATCGTATCGTCATGGGGCGGGGCCATACCGTCGGAGTCGGGCGACAGAATGAGTGGGGTTAAGCGGGGCCCGGGCTGTGAAGGGGGCGCGGCCATGATGCGAAGGGCGTGGCCAACGTCCGCAGGGCGGGGCCACGACGTGGGCGGGGTTAAACGGGGGTTCGGGCCGGCGTGGCGAGGGTGGGGCCTTGACACTAAAGTGCGTGGCTAAGGACGCGGGGGCGAGGTGATGGCGTGGGCGGGGTTAATTGGGGACTGGGGCCACCGTGGGGGTGAGGCCGTGGGGTAGGGGTGGGGCGCTGCAGTGCGGCAGGTCTTCTCCGAACTTCTAGGGTTGAGCACTCTCCTTTAATCCTCACAAGCCTGCCCAACCAGGGCCTCCTGTCTTGCTCTTCGCTGTATCTCAGGCTGCATGTTTCTGGTCCACAGTGAATGGTTTGCCCCTGTGGTCCTGTGATGTTTTGTCTTAAGTCTTGGCCTTGGTGTGTAACGCGGCCTGTGCGGGCTCTGCAGTCCTCCCGCCTCAGCCTCCTGAGTAGCTGGGACTACATGTGCATGTCACCATGCCCAGCTAATTTTTTTTTTTTTTTTTTGGTAGATTTGAGGTTTCGCCTTGTTGCCCAGGCTGGTCTAGAATTCCTGGGCTCAAACATCTGTCCACCTCAGCCTCAAAGTGCTGGACCACAGGCCTGAGTCACCATGCTTGGTTGACTGCCTTTCCGACGTCAATTCCAACTTCAAGGTCCCCAAGACCACCCTCAAGGTTCAGTAATTGGCTAGAATCACAGCAGTTACTGAAAGCTTTTTTTTTTTTTTTTTTTTTTTT